GGCCGGATTAAAAGGTCCGCGCGGACTTTTGGGGCTGCCAACCGAGAGGAGGCAGGGGAGCGGCCGACCGAGAGGAGGGAGGGGAGCAGGCGCCGGCACACAGAAGAGCCGCATTAGAGTGGGTAAAGAGCCGCATGTGGCTCGCGAGCCGCGGCTTGCCGACCACTGCAGTAGACCAACACCAGCAGATGACATCATCCACTGACTGGAAACTTCACACTGGACCTCATGCAACTAGGATTCTGTGCTTCTCCACTCTTCCTCTAGACTCTGGGACCTTGCTTTCCAAACAAAATGCAACATTTACTTTCATCCAAAAAGAGAACTTTGGACCACTGAGCAACAGTCCAGTCCTTTTTCTCCTTAGCCCAGATAAGACCAGGAATGTGACAGTTGTAGCCTATGTCCTGGATATGTATGTGTGTGGTGGCTCTTGAAGCAAAGACACAAGCCATAGTCCACTCCTTTTGAATCTCCCCCAAATTCTTGAATGGCATTTGCTTCACAATCCTCTCAAGGCTCCAGTTATCCCTGTTGCTTGTGCACCTTTTTCTACTACATTTTTTTCCTTCCACTCAACTTTCCATTAATATGTTTGGATACAGCACTCTGTGAACAATCTACTTCTTTGGCAATGTCCATTTGTGACTCTTCCTCCTTGTGGAGGGTGTCAATGACTGTCTGCTGGACAGCTATCAAGTCAGCAGTCTTCCCCATGATTGTGTAACCTCATGAACCAGACTGAGAGACGATTTAAAGGCTCAGGAAACTTTTACAGGTGTTTTGAGTTAATTAGCTGATTAAAGTGTGACACCATGAGTCTACAATATTGAACTTTTTCACAGTATTCTAATTTTCTGAGATGAATTTTGGGTTTTTCACTAGCTGTAAGCCTGAATGCTTGAAATATATCACTGTGTGTGTAATGAATCTGTATAGTATGAGTTTCACTTTTTTAATTGAATTACTGAAATTAACTTTTTGATATTCTAATTTATTGAGTTGCGCCTGTAGAAGGTAAGCTTTGTACAGGGACTAACAGTACAGTGTAACAACAGAAAAACAAGGCAGAGACCGAGATCGGTAATCCCTCCTTTCTGTTTAACAGTATGGCACATTTAAGATACCGATTTAAAATTTTTATAAATTTTTTTGTTGTTAAAGGTATAAGGATCCGGGGAAGTAATAAGTCTCTAGCTTTATTGACACGGTTGTTGAAGCCTAGGTCTTGAGAGACAAGAGTCTCCTTATCTTGCTAATAGCAGGAAAAGCCAGTTTCAGAAAGATCTATCCTCATATGTGGAAATTCTTTTTTGCACGGTGTGAACACCGGCATTTCAACCTTAGTGAATACTCCATACCTTGCAGTCTGGCCTTCCTACAATCAGGGATTTAACAGAACTTGACTCTAAACACTCTGCAGGGATAGTTGTCGGTGTTGTGTTCCAAAAACCTCTAGCCTCACTGTCTCTTGTTTTAAAGAAAAAAAAACACTATCAAAGGTGTATCTTGTATTCAACCCCCATTGCAGCACTCTGTGCTTCCTGTGGACCTTAATATGGTTCACTTCCCTACGGACACCACCCCTTGAATCCATCATGAATCTCCTCTTAGAAAATGTCTCACCCAGGGGGCATGTCCTCAAAAGCTTTACCAGTGTCCAGTCATTTGAAGGTTACTAGCCTTTTTTTTTTTTTTTTTGTCAAGCCAGATCATAATAGGGCATTATAGCTACCCCCTCATTCTAAGCCTGTTCTATCTACTTTTCTGAAGTTGCTCTGGTCCGGTCACATGATCAGGTCCCAGCGCCGGCTTCAGTGTCGAGGAGAGATCACCGACAACAGCTTTAGGGCCTGGGCAATGATATCACCCATAGAATTACTGTGGGGCATCTGTTGGCTGTCCCTTCTCTACACTGAAACTTGCTTTGGGATTCGAGCATAAGACTGGACCAAAGCGACTTCAGAGTAGTTAAGTATGGGCATCTTTCCTTTTACAGGATAGGTAGAATAGGCTTACAATGGGGGTGGGAGTAGATTTAATCTTAGGGGTTGACTTGCCCTTCACTTTTACACCATGGCAGCCAGTAGATGACTCTGAAGTGTGGTCTGATGTTTTCTAGTGCTATGCCTGATTTTGGTGTGGACCATATCAAAGTGCTATTATTTATGTTCCTCCTGTTTTTTTATGAAAAGAACATTGAACACAGAACTACTTTCCCAAAAATGTTTTTCTTTAATATATTATCAAGTTGATGTATGGTTTTGATATTTTGATATGATTTGTAAGTGGAACCTTTACTACCTATTTAAAAAACATTGATTTTTCCCTCCCCCGAACATTTTATTCCAAATTTTGTGTAGTGATAAAAAATACATTGCGCAATACACTTAAAACACAGAAAATGGAGTACATTTTAATTAGTTAAGGCACTTGTAGCTGAAATGATAAATTCACCTTTATACAAAAAATAATAAATGCACTTTTTTTTGCGGGTAAGAAAATGTGCATTTATTTTTTTGTTGCAGGAGCCTGTAAAGCATTGCACCAGGGATCAGCAGATTGCTGGTGCCATGCACGTCTCCTGCAGACCTGTCCGTATATCTGCTTGCCCTTATGGGATGTACAGGCAAGCAGATATACTGACTGGAAGACCTAAAGAAAAAACAAAAAAAAGTACAGTGCCGCGGTAGTTCATTGAGAACTAAGTGTTGTCAGCAGCTAAGGCTCTCATGACTTGTAGTTTCTCATTCACAGAACGCAGCGAATGAGTGACCCAGGTGGAGCCCCGCACGGCTACATTGTCAAAAAAAAAATTGACAGATAGCGAGGTGGAAGACGATCCCTCTCTAGCTGTCAAAGCAGGGGTGAGAAGGGGTCAGTCTGAATAGGAAAGGTGAGCCATCCTGATCCTCCTCTTCTGGGGTTCCCCGCCAATGTTCCTGGCTTCTCCCCCCACAGAGTGCCCGCACAGCAAGCCTCTTTCTATGGTGGCATTCATGCATGCTTGCTTGCTCCTGACCCCACTTTGTGTGTCCATTGACACAGAGCGTGACTTGGCCCCAGTTATTTGCCTTTTTATTTCACTATTGAAGACACCATTGATCGAGCAACCTTAAGGACCATAGATGCAATGGTCGGCTAAGGAAACTTAATGCATCTGATGAGAAACCTCATGCTTCCCAGCAACTCCGGAAGATGTCCAGCAGTGACAAAATTGGTGAAAACCAGTAGGACCCAGGTACACCTGGGTCCAGAGAGCAGGCAACAGGGAAGCATGGTGTAGGTTCCGTGGAAGTTTAGGGCTACATTTCTGCAAATGGAATTTAAAATTTGGTTAGAGTCAATGCAGGGATATGAAATAGTTTTTTTTAAAAACTACTTGTCCAGGGACTAAATCAGGGTCCCAAACTACTTGTCCCTTTTATGACAAAAAAAAAATGTTTTAACCAAAACCGTATTTAAATAAGCTCTTTTATTTTTATACTATTACTGAATGAGACAGTTTTATCACTAGGGATTTTCAATGGATGTATGTCCCTTTTTTTAGACCATGAAATGACTTTACCAGGAAGGAAAATATGAAGGGTTGATGTTTATTAGGCGGTGATATTGGGAGGTTATATTAAGAATATCTGGGGCTTTTAAAAGCAAAAAAGGGATTTTATGGTGACCTAAATTTTTAACATTGCACTGTTTTTTCTCCTCTTCCCCTCCGTCTGTCTCCAGCACTGCACCCGGGCACATCAAAGTCCCTGTCTTTTACCCCTCTACATCGGAGTCCCCCCTTACATCAGTGTCCCTGCTTACATCAGACCCTGGCGCAGCACCCCCTTCAGTCAGAGCTCAGCATTGTGCCCCCTTCAGTCAGCTCAGCTGTTAACTGGACATGAAATGGTTAAGTGTGAAGCTCCTGGAAGAACAGGGATGGGGGAGGTTGATAAGGAGAGAAGGAAAGGAGGTGGGGAAACCTAGAGCAGAGATCCCTCATCCTTAGACTGCTTTCTGCAGGCTCAGACACTGGCAATCATACAGGTGGATGGATCTTCAAATTTCCAGCCTGGGAAGGGGGGGGGGGGGGGGGGGGGACAGTCAAGGATGAGAGGGGCAGGAAGAGGTGGAGTAAAATGTAATCTCTCTCCTCTTCCGTCTATGCGGGGAGGGAGGAGGGGAGTGTGCTGTGTGAACAAGTGTCAGACACTGAGCTTTGCACAGCTGCAACCTGTCCGCCCCGGAGTTTATCAATCGCTTTCTTAAGCCCTGCTGCTTGCCCGCAGCAAAGCTACATGTAAGGAAAAACAACCTGCCCGGTGCTTGTAACTACATGTCTCGGGCGTTGGGCGATAGGATTTGCAAATCCCTGTAATGGTGTTCTCAATGCTGAGAAATCCAGGCTGATACTTATCCATCTTGTCATATAATCAGGGAGGTATGTAATTAGCCCAAAATGTATTCTGCACCAGCACAATGACCCCAAACATACAGCCAATGTCATTAAGAACTACCTTCAGTGTAAGAAAGAACAAGGAGTCCAGGAAGTGATGGTTTAGCCCCCACAGAGCCCTGAACTCAAACTCATAGTTGGTTTGGATGTAGGCTGCCTCAAACCCTTCTGTCTCATCATGTAATCCCACAGAGGATCTGTGTTTAGTTCTCCCAAGATGTTTGGAACAATCTTCATGCCGAGTTCCTTGCACAACTATGTGCACAAGCACTGTGTGTAACTAGAATTGATGCTTGTTTGAAGCCAAATGGTAGTCACAGCAAATATTGATTTGATTTGAATTTCTCTTCTGTTTGTCTACTTTCCATTTTATTTAAGTAAACCATTAACACTTCTATTTCCAAACGCATTGTTCATTTACAGCATTTTGCACAGTACTGTGTGTGTCAGTTGCAGCATATATTTTTGTAAAAAGTATTTTTGGTAAAAGACCATTTTATTGTAATAAAAATATTTGTTTTAATGTAGTTTATGTAATAATTGATGTTCTTTTTAGTTGTTATGTTGCCTCCGTTGGCGTGATCGGTTCAGGGTGTTGTCTGAGACTGTTGGACTGGAGCCAGCTGATTTGGCCTTGCTAACCTTCCATTGGCAGTGGCTAGTAAAGTACTCCTTGAAACCAATAAAACAGCTGTTCCTTGGACATGAGCATCAGAGGTTGGTGTCAATGCATCTGTGCTTAATGTGATTGGCTAAAAGGTCTCAAACTCTGATAAATGATTTTATAAAGCTAGTTTACATTTTCATAGGTTTTGGTATACATTTTCCTTATATACCTTAATTATATTACTGATAATAGTGTTGACCGCATAGGTTTGGTCTTATACAATGCAGATTCAAAATAGCTAAGTTTTGCTTTATTTTCATTTTACATATTTAAACAGAATCCTACTTTGTCCTAAAAAGACAGTTAACCATTTTACCACGTTAACTATGCCTATGGTGTATTAAAGTGTAAATCCACAGGGTTTTTTTTTCTTGCAAATCTATAACAGGAAAATAGAAAACCACAATTTATAGCCACCAAAACTCATATTGAAACGAAAACAAAATGAAGAGAAATGAGTCTTTAAGCATCCTTTTATTGCACATACATGTAGAAAACCAACTGAATAAAAAACGCCACCACCCCAAGGGTGTACCAGTGATGCCTCAGTAATTGAGTGTTTGGTTGAAATCTCAATGAGATCCATATCTGCATGAGACAGGTTTGTCTCTTCAAACCACTCCCACTGTTTAAATGTTCTCTTGGTACCTGCAATCCAAGATGAAACCATTAACTCCCGCCTTGTAAAGGCAGGGTTATTGATGCAAGCGTTCCACCTAAGAATCAAAGTTCTATCATCACATATCTTAAATTCAACATAGTCAGCATTCGATCATATTCAGAGGGTCGCAAAATTAACCTGCTTATGGTTACACGTATGTGGTAAATTTAATGTTGATAATCTTCGATGTACAGAATTACTTCGTGATGAACTATATGCCAAACCTCTGAGTGACTTGTACGCCACGTGAATATCTGCCAAGTTAGCCTGTAATCAAAATGGTACACGTGCCATAATAACACTTCTGTAGGACACATTTGGTGTGACTCATAGGCAAAAACCACAAGCCGGTCAATCAAGATTACCATAGAAGTTGGACCCTGAAGAAGACTGGACAAAGATGTCTGAGCTGGTGAGCATGCTTGCTGAAGTCGCATCGCTGGAGTGGTGGTAAATATAGCAGGTTCCTGCTGCTGTCAGTCAAAACCCGGTGGGGGGGCGGCTGCTGCTGCTTCCTATGGGGGAACAAAAGCATTGCACAGAGCAGTCAAGTATGACGTTTTATTATTATTTTTTATCCAAAATGTCAGTTTTTATAATCACTTTAATGCATTCCCTGCATTAGGGTAAAAAATGTTTTAGGACTTGCTGTGCCCCCCTCCTCCTCTAAACGCCTCACTCCTGAATCGATCCAGCACTGTGCCCAGCTGCAGTCCTTTCTTCACACAGGTACTGATGGGAAGCAGCAGAAGTCATTGGCTCCTGCTGCTGTCAGTCAGATTCAGTGAGGAGGGAGCAGGTGTCCATGAACACACCCAGCGCGGGATTGAACCCGCACTTCTGCCCCTGTAGCAAGAGCTTGCTATTGAGGCAGACCATTCTGGCAGGGGACCCCAGAAGAGGAGATTCTGCAGCTGTGCAATAGCATTACACAGAGCAGGTAAATATAACATGTTTATTTCAGGAAGAAAAGCCTCTATTTAGAACCACTTTAACATGCAACATGTGATATATACTGTTTTTTTTTTTTTTTTTTTTTTTTTTCTGTTTCCTGCTTGTGTACATTGTTGCTTGAATCTGCTCTGTGATATTAGCATATTATGATATTTTAGCATTGGTGAATATAAGCATTTACAGTGCCCTGAAAAAAGTACTCAGGCCCCTTGATATTTTTCCACATTTTGGCATGTTACAACTAAAATCGTAAATGTATTTTATTGGGATTTTATGTGATAGACCAACACAAAGTGGCACATAATTGTGAAGTGGAAGGAAAATGATAAATGGTTTTAAAAAATGTTCACAAATATCTGAAAAGTGTGGCATGCATATTTAGCACCCTGAGTCAATACTTTGTAGAACCACCTTTCACTGCAATTACAGCTGCAAGTGTTTTTGGGAATGTCTCTACCAGCTTTGCACATCTAGAGAGTGACATTTTTTGTCCATTCTTCTTTGCAGAATAGCTCAAGCTCTGTCGTTTGGGTGGAGAGCGTCTGTGGAGAGCAATTTTTCAAGTCTTTCCACAGATTCTCAATTGAATTTAAGTCTGGACTTTGACTGCGCCATTCTAACAGATGAATATGCTTTGATGTAAACCATTCCATTGTAGCTCTGGCTGTAGGTTTAGGGTCGTTGTCCTGCTGAAAGGTAAACCTCTGCCCCAGTCTCAAGCCTTTTGCAGACTCTAATAGGTTTACTTCTAAGATTGCCCTGTATTAGGCTCTGTTTATCTTCCCATCAACTCTGACCAATTTCCCTGTCCCTGCTGAAGAAAAGCATCCCCACAACATAATGCTGCTACCACCATAATGTTTCACGATGGGGATGGTGTGTTCAGGGTAATATCCAGTGTTTGTTTTCCGCCACACGTGTTTTTGCTTTTAGCTCAAAAAGTTAAATTTTGGTCTCATCTGACCAGAGCACCTTCTTCCACATGTTTGTTGTGTCCTCCACACGGTTGTGTCCTCCACATGGCTTCTTGCAAACTGCAAACGGGCTTTCTTCTTGACTCTCTTACATAAAGGCCAGATTTGTGCAGTGCATGACTAATCGTTATCCTGTAGACAGATTCTCCCACCTGAACTGTGGATCTTTGAAATTCTTCCAGCGTTATCATGGGCCTCTTGGCTGCTTCTCTGGTTAATGCTCTCCTTGACCGGCCTGTCAGTTTAGGTGGACTGCCATGTCTTGGTATGTTTTCAGTTGTGCCGTACTCTTTCCATTTTCAGATGATGGATTGAACAGTGCTCAAAGCTTGGGATATTTTTTTATAACCTAACCGTGCTTTAAACTTAACAATTTTATCCCTGACCCATCTGATTTGTTCCTTGGCCTTCGTGATGCAGTTTGTTCACTAATGTTCTCTGAGGGCTTCACAGGCCAGCTGTATTTATACTGAGATTACATTACACACAGGTGGACTTTACTTCTTAAGGCAATTGGTTCCACTAGATTTTAGTTAGGGGTATCAGAGTAAAGGGGGCTGAATACAAATGCAAGCCACACTTTTCAGATATTTATTTGTAAAAAAGTTTGAAAACCATTTATTTTCCTTCCTCTTCACAATTATGCGTCACTTTGTGTTGGTTTGTCACATGGAATCTTAATAAAATACATTAATGTTTTTTGGTTATAACATGACAAAATGTGGAAAATTTCAAGGGGTATGAATACTTATTGAAGCCACTGTAAGTGCATTTTTCTATTTCTCTTGAACTTGGGCACACTTTGTACACATGTATTTGTTTCTTTGTCTCTAGGCTTTCTCAGGAAGTTCAGTCTGTGTCTGAGAGTATTCAAGACTGCCTTTCATCCACACAAATGCCTGCTAGTGTAAAACTACTTCAAAAAATTCTTGGCAAACCTCTACCCTTCAAGGTATTGTATGCAATATGATTTGAGAAAATAAATATATACATACAGTTGTGTTCAAAATAATAGCAGTCAGACATCACTAACCTGATCAATCACTGTTTTTGGTAGAAATAATATTTCTACATGCAAATAATTTACTAGCAGGTGTAGTAGAGTAATAGAAATCCAACAGACCCAACAGTCATGACATGCATGCTGCTAAATCTGTGTCATTGAATCACTAATTGAAAGGGGCATGTTCAAAATAATAGCAGTGTGGAGTTCTATTAGTGAGGTCATTCATTCTTTGAAAAACAGGTGGCAATTATTGCCCTTATTTAAGGAAGGAAGGCAGCAAATGTTGTACATGCTGGTTACAGTGCATTTCTCTCTGAAATTCTGAGGAAAATGGGTCGTTCCAGACATTGTTCAGAAGAACAGCGTACTTTGATTAAAAAGTTGATTGGAGAGAGGGGAAAACATATAAAGAAGTGCAGAAAATGATAGGCTGCTCAGCTAAAATGATCACAAATGCTTTAAAATGGCAACCAAAACCTGAAAGACGTGGAAGAAAGCGAAAAACTACCATTCGAATGGATAGAAGAAAGGCCAAAATGGCAAGGACTCAGCCAACAATCAGCTCCAGGAAGATCAAAGAAGGTCTAAAGTTACCTGTGAGTACTGTTACAATTAGAAGACGCCTATGTGAAGCCAAGCTATCTGCAAGAAGCCCCCGCAAAGTCCCAATGTTGAAAAAAAGACGTGCTGAAGAGGTTACAATTTGCCGAAGAGCACATTGACTGGCCTAAAGAGAAATGGCGCAACATTTTGTGGACTGATGAAAGTAAGATTGTTCTTTTTGGGTCTAGTGGCCGGAGACAGTTTCAGACGACCCCCAAACACTGAATTCAAGCCACAGTACACTGTGAAGAAAGTGAAGCACGCTTGCGCAAGCATCATGATATGGGGATGTTTCTCATACTACGGTGTTGGGCCTATTTATTGCATACCAGGGATCATGGATCAGTTTGAATACATCAGAATACTTGAAGAGGTCATGCTGCCTTATGCTGAAGAGGAAATGCCCTTGAAATGGGTGTTCCAACAAGACAACGACCCCAAACACACCAGTAAACGTGCAACATCTTGGTTCCAGACCAGCAAGATTGACGTTATGGAGTGGCCAGCCCAATCCCCGGAACTTAATCCAATAGAAAAACTTGTGGGGTGACATCAAAAATGCAGTTTCTGAGGCAAAACCAAGAAAGAGAGAAGAACTGTGGAATGTAGTCCAATCATCCTGGGCTGGAATACCTGTTCACAGGTGCCAGAAGTTGGTTGACTCCATGCAACACAGATGTACAGCAGTTCTCAGAAACAGTGCTTATATAACTAAATATTAATTGATTCAAAGGAAAGCAAAATCTACAAACATTTTTCAGTTTATAGAGTGAATGTTTGTTTGAGTTTGTAAAGAAGAATACAAACACTGCTATTTTTTGAACAGTCTAATATTCACTTTTCTTCAATTTTTTTAGAGGAACAACACAAAGTTTTGATACATTTTTCTTCATGTTTTGATTTGGATGAATGTGTAGTGTTTCCAATGCATTTGTGTGTGTATGGAAATAAAAGCTATTAGAAGGATTTTGAGCTTTATTCACTTTTTTCAACACACTACTATTATTTTGAACACAACTGTACATATCCTGTTATTACTGTAACTTTTTTTTTTTATACTTGACATTTACCTTTATATTACCTAATGGATGTAACTTAACACTATAATTTAAAGTTTGTAGTGTGTGTGTATATATAAAGTACTTTTTACCTTCTAAAATTTACAGGATGACTCTGTGGTACAGTGTATGGATAAACTGAAAGCTCTAAGCACTTCCCTTAATGTAGTTGATCTGAGACCAGATAAAGGAGAGAGTGGTTGCCAGCGTGATTTTTACAGATTAAAAGCTGCTAGCTCTGACTGGGACACAAAATACAAATTGCTTCAGGAATGGACATCTATCCTTCGTGCAAATCATCAAGAAGATGGGAACACTGGTAATGGCTTTCTTTGCTTTGCCTAGATAAGTAACATGCGTTATAAAATGGCATGCCTATAATGCTAAATATGTAGGTTGCAATTATAGATTATTTGCATTCTATTTCCAAAGGGAGTCTGTAGCGAGGGAAAAACTCCTCTGTGATTAACGTTTACTGGGGACAGCTATTTCCTAACAAAGGATACCACTTAATGCCCTGGAATAAAATGCAACTTATGAAGCAGGGAATTGCTACTTTCTGCCCCCTAGATGTTTTGCTTTTTGAGTGTGTGCGTGTTCTGGTGAGGGTGGGTATGTTTGCTTATCTGTTTTTGAAAGCACATATTTGTGTTTCCTGTGAATTTATATGTATATATCTTAAAAAATTGAGCTCTGAAAGTAACTCTCCTGTGGTCTTGGCCTTCTAAGCATGTACTCAAGTTTATTACTACTGATATTTGTCTTTGCAGCGGGGCTCTCTGTGTCAGTGGAATTACTAAGCTCACATATGAAGAAGCAGCAAATACCTTTGTTTTCTGATGAAAAAAGTAATGAAGAGCGATCATATACCCAAATGGACCTGAAGGATTTAGCACAGCTTTCAAGTAAAGTTCAGATGTGGCCAGGCATGGAATATCTGATGCTGCTTTGGCAGTACAAACTGATGACTGACCTGCTGTCACATTCTTACTATGTAAGGTAATAACATATGCAGCGGTCTCATTTTCATGCATAATGGAATGTGACAACTTTGTGTCATTTATTTTATTTATGTTTTTGCCTCCACAGAAAGAACATGCAGTCTGACTTGAATCAGCTGGTGTCATTTTGTTTGAAACATACCTCATTGCCCTCACAGCATGTTCGCGCTTTCAACTTTCTTATTCAGCATTCTGAGGTAGTGTTATGGTTTATGCAAGAACAGTACTTTGCATTTTTTTTTTTTTTTTTATTTTAGCTAGCGAAGGCATAACATAAACATGTAATGCTTTAATCCTCGGTTACTAATTGAAAAAAAAAAAATTGTCTTGGCTGTTCAAAACAGATAAACGGAATTGTAATTACCTTTTACATCAGAGTACTCAGTCCTCTTTCACAAGTGCCCTCAGCCTTCCTTCCTTTTAAATCAGAGTCGTCATGCCCCCCTGCCCGTTCAAAACTGAGCCCTTGACCAGCTCCTATTATACTTTTAAGTTTTTTTTTGCCTTGCCAGGAGCAGCCCTGCAGCTGGCTATTACCAGCATGTCAGTTGCCCAGACGGCCAGCCCATGGCATCCTGGAGAAATTAATTGTAAGCTTTTACAGTCATGGCCAAAAATATTGACACCCCTGCATTTCTGTCAGACAATGCACCACTTCGCCCAAACAATTGTTGCAATTGCAGATGTTTAACAATTCTCATGTTTCTCTTGTTTGTGTTGGTATGACACAAAAAGCCAAATCTGACGCACTCCATGCTAAACCTCAAAAATGGACTAGACATGATTTGCACCTTTTTCAAAATGGTTGTATCAGTCAACAGGTGCTGACAATATAGAAATCACACAGCAACCAGTTAAAATGGTGAATGTTCGGTCTCCATCAGAAGTCATGGGTCTTACAGCAGGACAGTGACCCAAAGCACGTCAAAAAGCACCCAGAAATGGTTTCAGACATAGTGCTGGAGAGTACTGTACTGGCCAGCAAAGTGTTCAGATCTCAGTCCCATAGAGCACCTGTGGAGAGATCTCAAAACAGCAGTTGGGAAAAGGCACCCTTCCAATCTGAGAGACCTGGAGCAGTTGGTTATAGAAGGGTGGTCCAAAATTCCAGTAGAGTGGTGTAAGAAACCCATTGGTGGTTGCAGGAAGTGATTGATTTCAGTTATTTTTTTCCAAGGGGTGTGCTACCAAATATTAAATTGAGGGTTCCAATAATGTTGTCCATTTTATTTTTGGGGTTTTGCATGCAATGTGTCAGATTTGGCTTTCTCCACTTTTTTGGTTTCTCCACTTTTTTGTGTCAGACCAATACAAACAAAAGAAAAAGTAGAATGCCAAAACTTTTGTACAGCCCTGGCCAAATTTTTTTTTTTTTTTTCTGACTGACACAAATATACATTTTCACGAAGTCTGTTGCTTCAGTGGTTTTGGATATTTTTGTCAGATGTTACTATAGTATACTGAAGTATAATTACAAGCATTTCAAAAGTGTCAAAGGCTTTCAGTGACAATTACATTAAGTTTATGCAAAGAGTCATATTTGTAGTGTGGACCTTCTTTTACCAAGACCTCTGCAATTTGCCTTGGCATGTTGTCAATCAACTTCTGGACCACATATTGACAGATGGCAGCCCATTCTTGAATAATCAATGCTTAGAGTTTGTCAGAATTTGTGAGGGATTTTTTTCACCTGCTCCTTGAGGATTGACCACAAGTTCTCAATGGGATTAAGGTCTGGAGAGTTCCCTGGCCATGGACCCAAAATTTTGATGTTTTTGTTTTCCAAGCCACTTAGTTATCACTTTTGCCTTATGGCAAGGTGCTCCATCATGTTGGAAAAGGCATTGTTAGTAGTCGCCAGACTGTTCTTGGATGGGTGGAAGAAGTTGCTCTTAAAGGATGCTTTTGCACCATCCTTTATTCATGGCTGTATTCTTAGGCAAAATTGTAAGTGAGCCCACTCCCTTGGCTGAGAAGCAACCCCACACATGAATGGTCTCGTGATGCTTTACTGTTGGCATGACACAGGACTGATGGTAGCGCTCATCTTTTCTTCTGCGGACAATTTTTTTCAGATGTCCCAAGCAATTGGAAAGGGAATTCATCAGAGAAAATTACTTTACCTCAGTCCTCAGCAGTCCAATCCCTGTACCTTTTGCAGATTGGTTTGTCCCTGATGAGAAGTAGCTTCTTTGCTGCCCTTCTTGACAGCAGGCCATCCTCCAAATGTCTTCGCCTCCACTGTGCGTGCAGATGCACTTACACCTGCCTGCTGCCATTCCTGAGCAAGCTCTGCACTGGTGGTGCCCCAATTTTGCTGCCAAATCAGCTTTAGGAGACAGTCTTGACTCTTGCTGGACTTTCTTTGGCACCCAGAAGCCTTCTTCACAACAATTTAACCTCTATCCTTAAAGTTTTTGATGATCCGATAAATGGTTGATTTAGGTGCAATCTTAGTAGGCGCAGCATTCTTGCCTGTGAATCCCTTTTTGTGCAAAGCAATTACTGCAGGTGTTTGCTTGCAGGTAACCATGGTTAACAGAGGAAAAACAATTATTTCAAGCACCGCCTTCCTTTTGAAGCTTCCAGACTGTTATTCTAGCTCAATCAGCATGGCAGAGTGATCTCCAGCCTTGTCCTTATCAACACTTAACTTTGTAAATGCTAAAACCACTGACATGATGTCAGCTGGTCCTTTTGTGTCAGGGCTGAAATGTAGTGGACATTTTTTTTTCTCTTGGGGAGGAGATTAAGTTCATTTTCATGGCACAGAGGGACTTTGCAATTAATTGCACTTCATTTGATCACTCTTCATAACGTATATGCAAATTGCCATCATAAAAACTGACGCAGCATATTTTGTGAAAATTAATATTTGTGTCATTCTCAAAACTTTTGGACAGGGCTGTAATTGCAACAATTTTCTGAGTGGTACATTATCTGACAGAGATTTAGGAGTGCCAATATTTTTGGCCATCACTGTAGATTGGTCTAATCATGCTGCAAGATCACGTTTACCCTCTGCACTGCTTTTCTGTATTGATGCCATGGAGTATACGATCTGTCAGATTTCCAGCCTGGCCTTGCATTTGTGCAGAATCTTATGTCCTAAAGCCTGGTCAGCAGAACACTTTCATAAAAGTGCCTTTTAAGCATGCCCTTCAAAGGTGCGCTCCTCTTGGAACTTCCCTTGAGGCATCCATTATGGTAGCTACTTGAGGGAAGGGGGTTTGTACCAAACTATCCTCAATCCATCTATTTTCTCATGAATTTTTGTCCCCTCAGGGAGACATGTACTGCAGGTCCTTCAGTTGTTGCAGATTTCTCCTGGCTAAACTTGACAAACCTGATCAGTAACCACCTTTGCAATGAAAGTTGCCCCTATTCCTTGACAAAAAGGTTAGAAAAAGAGGTGTCAGCATTTGCTGCCATTAAATAAAGCTGTCCTGACTTTTAGATACTTTACTTATCCGTCTTAAGTAGAGTATACGTGTTGATTTTTTTTTTTTTTTTTTCGTTTAAGCAGAGGGTTGAATTTAAAAAAAAATGCTCACCAATCCCTTCATCAACAACAAGTAGTAATAAGATCCCTTTTAAGGACCTTTGCCCAATCAGCCTGGATTTGCAAGTAGGTGCAAAATAAAATGTCTGCCTTGTGAAGCAGCAAGTAAGAACGTAACATAAAAAACTAGGAGAAAAGTGAAAAGAAAACAGTAGTGCTTGTTTGTAACACAGTAGCTTGTTTTAACCAAGCTACTGTGAATCTACTAGAACATTTGGAACAAATGGTTGCAGAAGAGCTGCTGGAAGTTTCCCATTTCATCTAATGCTTGGTTGTCCTGTATACAATACACATACAGAGCCAACTTAAAGTGGACTGCGGAACCCATGTCAAAAAAAGCATACACGTTAAGTGCCCTTTGATGGGGAAACTGCTTTTGTTGTATCTAATCTGGATACCAATATCAAGGATGCTACTGGGGCAAGAGCATATTTGTCTATCCCTATGGAGGAAGTTTAGGCCACAGACTGGAAATGCTGTTCCCATACTGTTACAACTGTTGCTTCACCACTCCTGCAGCATCCACAACTTTTGATGGATCCTGCATTTTCGGAAAGTGTTGCTGAAATGGACACATTATTTGGAGTGTCTAGGTCTAAAGCTGGACACATCTCAGGTCAAAGTGTTTATTCCTCAGGAGACAATTCAATCTCAATTCCCTGATTTATGTTCTCCATACCATGAGCTGTCAGAATCCCTGCTTTTGCATGAGAATACTTGGTCTGATGGTAGTAATCTTCCAGGGTGTCATTTGC